GGGGGGGGGGAAGAGTGACTTAAAGCTCAACCTGTGATATATCAATAAAACAGGATCTAGCAACTGCTGTCCAGAACAACAGCACCTTGGAGAGCAAGTCACCCTTCCAGTAAACCAGACAGAAAGAAATGTTTGATCCAGGGCTCAGTTACATATAAGCATATGACTTCCACTGAAAGTAACAGCAATCACCTGCATAGAAATAGGTTAAGCCTGCCCTCCCCCTACATGTAGCTAACAAGATTAGAAGGGACCTATGAGCAGATCTCAATAGAGACGTGAACAAACTTTAAAAAAAAAAAACCAAAACCCACACCCCACACCCCCCCCCAAAGTGCAATACTAAGATATAAACTTACTAATAGGAATTTGGAAGAAATCTCCCAAGTGAACAAGTTATAATACAAGTATCTAATTTTTGATACTGGAAACTCCGAGTCTGATCCTGGGTTTGATACAGAAATTCTTATATTTTTGAATCCTCTCCTATTGAAGAGTGAAGGATTCACTATTTGAGTTTGCCAGTACTCAGTGAAAAAGAAAATGCAAACTGCACATGAAGAAACAAACCACCACACCCCAAAAAACCCCAACCAAACACCACCAAAACTCTGGATATCTTACTGAGGACTTTACAGAGACATTAGCAACAGACACAGCTAAGGACATTTAATAAGTCAGAGTAAGATGTGGAAGTCAATTTTATATTGAAATCTACAGATAAACGTATTACTCATACCAGAAATTGTATGAATGGTATGAACCTGCATTTTATTCTTCCATCTCACTGCTCTTTCTTGTCCATCAGAGACTCTTCTAAGCAGGCTACAGCTAGCAAGAAAGGAAAGTTCACAGAATGAACAAAAGAGGGTGTCCTGGTTTTGGCTAGCATAGAGTTAATTTTCTTCATAGTAGCTGGTATGGGGCTGTGCTTTGGATTTGTGCTGAAAACAGTGTTGATAACACAAGGATGTTTCAGTTATTGTCAAGCAGTGCCTACACAGAGCCAAGGCCTTTGCTGCTCCTTACACCACCCCACCAGCAAGTAGGCTGGGGGTGCACAAGGAGTTGGGAGGGTACACAGCTGGGACAGCTGACCCCAACTGACCAAAGGGATATTCCATACCATATGACATCATGCTCAGCATATAAACTGGAGGAAGGAAAAGGAAGAGGAGGATGTTCAGAGTGATGGCATTTGTCTTCTCAAGTACCTGTTACACAAGATGGAGCCCTGCTTTCCTGGGGATGGCCGAACACCTGCCTGCTGATGGGAAGCGGTGAATGAATTCCTTGTCTTGCTTTGCTTGCGTAGCTTTTGCTTTCTCTATTAAACTGTCTTTATCTCAACCCACAAGTTTTCTCACTTTTACCCTTCTAATTCTCTCCCCCATCCCACTGAGGGGGAACATAAGTGAGCAGCTGTATGGTGCTTGGCAGATGGTCGGGGCTTAGTTGCCAGCTGGGGTTAAACCATAACAGTGGTTAAATCCTCTGCCATAAGGAACAAAAAAACCTCACAACCCCCCCAAAAAACCCAAACCAAAAAAACCCCACTCAAACCCCCCAAGAAAACCAAAACAACAACGAAGTGCACAAAACACCACCAGCAAAACCACAAAACACACAAAAACACCAGCCAGAAACTTTCCTCAAAGGTAGAAATATTATGTGTACTGTTATTATACCTAAACATATACCTTCATCAGTCTTTATTCTTTCCAAGCTCTCACTGACTTGCTGTTGACTCATTGGGGCGGCAGGGTGAAGGAAATAACCACGACATTGCCTGATGAGAGCTGTAGATACTGTCCTAGAACAGGCCAAATTTTGGGCAAAGAGATACTTAAAGAACATTACCCACACACATGTTAACTTCACTAATACCATAAATAAAGAGAAATAAGTGAGTGAACACGTACACCATTGCTGAAAAATTCTTCCTATCTTTTTGAACAAAATATAAGGGATAAGCATAAAGCTGATCAAGCTGATGCAAGAAAACCAAAAGGAACACAAAGTATTTATTCAGTAACACCACCAACAGAAGGTATCTGCAACTACCTTAAAATAGCTAAGATTTCTACAAAAAGAAGAAATACCATCAACTAATACTGCATTCTCTTCCTCAGTATGAGAAATATGCATGACATCAGTCCAGATTTTTCAAGCCATTAGAGTTGGTGCATGCCATGGTCTCAAGTGACTGTAGCCAAAAAAACTCAGCTGAAGGGCCAGAAGGACTTTTTAGTGTAATAAACTATTACATTACAAATAAGACAAGATATAAAACAAGAGTTTGAGACATAAATCTCCTTATCAATATTTCTGTTTACATGAAATAGAATCACGTGCAAAGTCAGAGCAGTGCGTTGCAGAGTTGAAACAAGCACCAGCAATGTAATCAGCATGATATCAAATGAGCAACAGGGTTGCTTTAAGAAACCAGAACAACACTGCATCCCAAGGCTTACTGATTGTCGGGCTGAGGGGGATGCCAAAGCAGCAGATAAAGCTGATGTATTTGTTGTGAACTTTCCAGCATTCAGGCTTTATTTGTCTGAGTTTGATACTCCCCTCTGTGGGTGGAGAAGCCGAGGCACTGGCTGACGTCACCCAAAGAGCAGGGATAAAGTGCAGTGCTAGCAGCTGTGGGATGAGTAAAACTTCCAAAGAGGTAATACACGAGGTCAGCTGCCCTGTCCGGCAGGTGCTCTACTGACAGCACCCTTCCTCCTACAGCTCAGCTCCTCACACAGACCCAAGGAAAAAAGAACAGTAACCAGGAAAAAACTGTCCACAATGCCACAAAACGTTATTCTCCAAGGACCAGCACCCTGGGGATTCAGGCTCTCCGGAGGAATAGATTTTAACCAACCCTTAATCATAACCAGGGTATGTATACTTTCCATTTCCTTTCTATTTATTACATTCATTAGTTACTGCAGATTTTTGCCATTTACTTTTCTGGAGTTGAGAGGCAGACAAAGCTGTGAGTAGATTAACAAGTAGCTGGTAGTTCTGAAGAGAGCCAGCTGAATGCTAACAGTTTTTACAAGTTTTGTGTGACGTGTTTCAGGGACTGCTTTATTGGTCTAAGAGACTTAACTTTCTACTTATGCCCCAAAACCTGAATTTAAGTGCCTTAGTGGCAGACAAACTCTGGCATGATTTCCCCGGGCATACAGATGAAAAAATTAGTTTTGAGCCTACTAAAGGCCAGACCCCACTTTTATCATTTTCACAACTAGCCTCTGTGATTACTGGGGGAGAAGACTGCTTGCCAGCAGCTCCTCATGTCTGGAAGTCTGTGCTTTGCAAACTCCCTGCCAACTTTATGAGATTAATCTGACTCAATTAAATAAAATTCTGATTATTGCCAGAAAAGGCAACAGCACCTAGTTTTACATATGTAAAGGTTTCCACTTTTGTGAATGTTAAATCGATGAAAGTTATCTAGTCCTGAATAGGAAGGAGATAGTTCTTTGGTGTTTTCTGCCATATTTAGAAACAGACAGTTTACCTTACCCCCCCAATAAAGGGCAAGAATCCAAGACTTCATTTTTTCATGGATTTTGAGCTAATAATTGCAATTTATTTAAGAAACCAGTTACTCGATGAACAGACCATATAAAACACTATCAGCTGCCCTGCATCTACAGACATTGATCTATTCAAAAGACAGGATATATAATTTGATAATTTGTATATTTTGAACATTGTGTTCAATGCACATCAGACTAGAATTAGTTCTCCTTATATTTTTGCTGCTTTTCAGAACTTCAGACACACCAAGTATATGTTCCATGAGCCTCTGAATCACCAAAGCATTTGGTTTTTTTTTAAAAAAAAAAAAAAAAAAAAAAAGCCCTGTACTATGACTCAATATATCCACTATGCCTGGTATTAAATAAACGTCAAGAGCCTTGAAGGATGGATACCACTGGTGATGCCTCGCAGTAAATATGCTTCTAAAACAAGAGTCTGTAGAAAGTTTAAGGACCAACCTTTTGCACATTATACTAGTAAAACTTAATTTAATCACTTATTCTAGATTTATAGAAACATAAAAGATTTTACTTATTTTAAACAAAAGTAAACCTGAATGCTATTATTTGACTGTTATGAAGCCATATACAAACACTCATAGAATATAGCAAACCCTTTGGAGAAACAGGAGATAAAAACATTGAATAAAAAAAAAGAAAAAATCTCTAGATGTTTTGGGGCCTTCATTGCCTTTTATGGGCCTCCAAAAGAAAAATAGTTTCCATTATCTCTAATGAAAAATATTTTAGCAGTGTCTGGTTTGTATTTTCTTTGTGTTTAGATTAAGTGCAATGGAGTTTAAAACTACAATAACAAAGGATGTTACTATTAATGTAACTTTCTAAAGAGTAAATTATTTTGCAATTGACTCATACCTACCAAATGTCTCACAAGACATAAGCCATCGGTTTCTAGCATATTACAGAAATGCTCAAAATCACATTTGAAGTAGAACTATGAAATAAAATACACATAGAGAAAAATGACATGTTTAAGTTTGCTTACCTCAAGTTCAAGGATGTTAATGGTAGATTTGCTTAAAATTAATATTTATGTTACCACAGCATACATTTAGAAGAGTCCCTAAATAAGTAGTCATGCAGTACCCCTTAAGTAGTAGTGAACATTTCACAAGATTGTGCCTTGCTTTTTGGGGCCTAGGTGTAACACATTTTGAATAAAATAATTGGACAGGTGTTAAGTTTGGTTGTCTATAGTCCTTGTTCAACAAGAGAAAGCTTTTACCAGAAATTGTCAAGAGAGACAGACAACATAAGAGATCATCATCAATCTGTCTAAAGAACAGATGTCATCTCAAAAACCCATCTGCGATTTCCCAAGCAAGGCAATTCTCTTGACTGTTTCAAGCAAATGCAAAAACCACAGATCACGATCACCAGGAGAGTAGGAAGAACAGGAGGGGAATAAAAATAGACATATTCAGACTCTATTAGAGTCAGAAATAACAAATAAACTAGAAATAATGAAAACATTTCCTGAAATCATTAGAACTTTACATAGATGCAAAGAAATTAAATAGTGAAACTGCTCAAAACCCTAGTCTTAATGAAACTGGATAATTTCAGTTTATTCTGACCAGAAGGTAACACTTTGTGTTAAGCATTTAGAGGAATGCAATCCTACAATTTAAGTCCTATTGAATAAAGCATTACAGAAACAATTAAAACTTGTAGAGGTTGGAGGGAATGGTGAAATATCAACTCTAGATTTAAGTTCTGCTTTAATATAAACCTTTAGAGATCACAACACAAGTATTTATATTAAGTCAATTTTATATTTAGCCACTCTGTCTGCAGACATTCGTAACTCTCTTCAGAAAACACAGAGCCTGAAATATTTATGAAGGCATGCCATGATGAGCTTCACAAGACAGAGTGAACAGATGCAGAGAGTTTCATAGGAGATGTTGCCCCTCATGTCTTAAATAGTTATCTAGTCTCTGACAACACCCGAATGCTCAATACATATCCTTGTATTTATCCAAATCTGAGATACCTAGGATACAGGAGCAATAGGCATGGTATACAGACATGTCCCGAAGAGCAAGACAAAAATTTTCCTAAAACACCAGTAGAATCTACCTCATGAAGCAACAACATGTGAGCAAGCAACAAACACTACAGTCACAGTACATATTTAACGCATCTCGAATAAGTTCCTTAAGAAACAGTATCACTTACGTTATTGAAGTACCTACAATACCAATATTAATCCCATGACATGGTGTAATCTTGCAATGCACAACCTGGTCCCTTTCTATAAAATGTAGGCTGCAGTACTTTTATCCACCCCCCTTCCCCATAAGCAACAGTCAAGACTTCCCCCCCTGAAATACTGAGGGGACAGAAGAGCTGGCACCCAGCCATATTCCTCCTACCCCATCCGGGGGGGGGGGGGGGGGCCCGGGGGGGGGGGGGGGCTCTCCAGCTCTTTCCATCAAATGAAAGAGCAGATGAGGGAAAGGATTATACAAGGGCAGGTAGTTCTGTACCCAGAAGGCCTAGCCAAGTAGAGCTCAGCACCCCCGTCAAGGTGTTAGGGTCCAACAGATATGTCCCAGAAGCCTAGCAATAAGCAATTCAGCTAAGGAACAGGAAATACAGACTTCTGGCCCTTTCCCTTGCTCCCATCAAACTATGGTAACCCTATCCAACCATATAGTGGAATAACTGCAGCTGGTGACAAAATCCAAGAGATTGTGCATTATTACCAGCATCACAGAGTGGGTTAGGTCCTATTAGCAACACAGCTGCAGGGGAACATACCCCGCTAGACAGAAATGCTACTTTATAAGGCAGGATCTTTATCTCAGTACATTGCTGCAGTATGCCACAGATACAGCAGATGATTTGCTGGGACATGTAAAAAGCATAATCTACCAAGTAACCTATATAAGGGTTATTAAAACAAGCTTACTCTGGAGAGGGAACTAAGAATGGTTGGGTTTGCCCATTTGGGGTATTAGAGCATCAACAGTCACACTCGATCGCTAGGAATTCTGCTGCAGTTTGTCATTGCACGCACATCCACAACATGCTAAACAAAGTCAGGAGCCATTCCAGGTTAAAGGGAGAAGCATGATCCTACCTCTACCCCTGTCTTATTATAGTAATGTAAGTAGTCTCAGTGTACACTTACACTTACAGCTGTTGGAGTTTGAGAAACAGACAATTTTGGAGACTTCAGCCTTAGAATTTATGAGCAACTTCCTTGAGTCATACTTGTATTATTCAGGCATCTTAAGACTGTTAAGCACACAATACATGAGTCCATTCTTTAGGAGGGTGAACGGGGTAAAAGCCTCCAGGTCGCCAAAAGTACCCATTTGGAAAGTTTGCCTGACTTGATACATAGCACACACACTGCAGTTTGTTACAGTGAAATCAAAAATAAGTTTGCATGCTGGAATGCAGAAAAATGCCCACAAAACAAACTCTAACTTCTTTGAGCATTCAGACCCACCTAACAGAGATGGACAATTGGAAAGAGGAGAGAATAACTCCATTTAGCTGATTTTTGCCATTGTTTCAATACTAATACAGTGCAACACATGTCAAAAAGAATATTTCTATTTGGCTTTTATGCTGACAGTATCACCTTCAGAGGCAACAAGTCTGCCAGGTTCCCCATAGCTAGGGTTCAGAACATACTGGAGGTATACTAGGCAGCTTGTTCTCTTCCTCTGCTGGGAAACACTGGAATTGAAGAACATATCCATAGCATGTTTTCCAGTCTTCAATAATACTTAATTAATTTTAATATTGAGATAGCACTTGTTTTGACTGTAACAGAGCCCATGGTGAGATAAATTCTTTCCAATAGCTATTTTATTTCATGTATGGCACAGATCAGAGAACTGCTCTTACAAGTAAGACTATATTGACATTTTTGTCCTTCACACTCGGATTCTTTACTTAAAAATAAGCAGCTAGTGTTATTTTAGATGAATCAACCTGTCTCCTTTGTTCTGCTGTTCCAGAAAAGCTGAACTCCAGAAGCTTATGTGCTACATCCATCAATTTCATGTTGCTGTCTTGGTTATCAAAGGTCACCTAAAATAGCAATACGCACCTAAGGAACCTAAATCCCACTCAGTGACCAAAGACCTGTTTAAATGGTGTGGAGGTATGAGAAGTCACCTAGTTGCAAATAAAGGCCTCCAATTCTAGAACAAACATTAGTAGGTTCTAAGGTCTCTACAATAGTTACTTTAAAACAGAATTATGTTGCATTTCAATTATTTTAACCATGATGTAGAAGACTATCAACAAGACAAAAAAAAAAAAAAAAAAAAAAAAAAGCAAGCATAGAAAGATAAGCTCCGGGTTATTTCTATCAACACCACTGATGTTGGTACATTTCCATGAAGTATGAATAGCACCACAGAGATCACCTGGAAGGATCAGAGCCACTGTTATTCAAATGGAATGGGACTTAAAGCTAAGCACTTTAAGGAGTTCAGGGTCTGGATTAGACATGAATAAAGAGAAAAATGTCATTTCAGTATTATTAGCATATTTCTGATTACTTAGCAATATAACATGAGAGGCTAGGCTAGCAGAAAACACAGTAACTATTGTATTAGTCCTTCTCTGTGGTAAGATCACAAGTGCCTTTCTAGATTATCCAGTCAATGACATATCATGCACATGAACATTAAGTAGCACAATTTCTTAACAGATCTATTATTCAGCTATTGCCTGGAGTTGTAAGAGAAAAACTGTGGTTTTTTTCAAGCAAATTACAAAATAGTAACTGAGTTGGAAAATTCAAAGACAAGTTACAGTAACTACAGAAATTAGAGTGGCAAGAAGTGTGAAGATAATTTCCATCTAATTTAAAGTTATGATGAATAAAGCATTTATATGATGATCAGACAACAGAAATACAGAGGGCCTGGCAGAATTAAGAACTCTTTTTTTTTTTTTATAAGCAATCATATAGTTGTTTACAGGCCAACTCCTTCCTTCCCCAACACAACAGGAAACAGGGAAGCATAATGAAGTTTATTTTCTCTATCAATTTTCAGGTATGCATGGTGCTTAAGCAGTTAAATTTTGTGGGTTTTTTTCAGATTACACCTGGAAGCAAGGCTTCAGCTGCCAACCTGTGCCCTGGTGATGTTATTGTAGCTATTGATGGTCTAAGCACAGAAAGCATGACACATAATGATGCCCAGGAGAGAATTAAAGCAGCTGCACATCAGCTTTGTTTGAAAATAGAGAGGTACGTGTACATGTCTGCTTACTTCTGAAGGAAGATGCTACCCAACCAACTGATTATACAGCACAACTATTATATAATGTAACTATTTTAAACAGTTTTAAGAATTTCAGAAAACTTTTAAAATTACAAGCACCAAGACCTACCTCACCAATTCCAGATCAGGCAAGACTCCCCAGAGCACGTCTTTGTAGGCACAAGAAGAATAGCTTCCCTCAAACTACTCACCACATTTACTGAGCTGTGAACTGTACCACCTACTGTCTCTGCTGACTCCACAAGTCCTGTGTTTGCTGTCAGCAATCAAACAGTTCATCATGTTTTTGGGAAATAATAAAACCCTCAGGTTGGTGTCACTTGTTCAGTTACCTCCCTGCTCTAACACTGCCTCAGCCACAGGTGCTTATCATTGCTTCCTGCTCCCCATCACAGACAAAGCTGCTAGCATATCCTCACAGTTAAGGAAAGCAACATCATGTCAGACTTTCATAAGGGGTGACAAGGGAAGGGATTGAAAGCCAACCTCTTTGGTCACAACATATTAAACCAAATACAGGATTCTCAAAGCAATGTTAAAAACAAAGCAAAACTAAAAAAAAAAAAAAAATCTCTCTTACCTAAAATGCAGGAGTCCAGAAACCTTTTCGCATTCATTTCTCTCAACCAAAGCCAGCAGAGAAACAACCTGCATCTTCACATCTCCTAACTGAGTTTGCTCAGCCTTTAATCACAATCACCTAGCACACGCTTTCAGCTGTCTCCAAGAATCAGACAGCTGTGATTTACCTGAGGCCCTGGAGGCACAGCACTTCATTACAGCTGACCACAATATTTCTTTCCAAATACAGAAGGTGGTATGGGTTTGGTTTTTTGGTTTGGTTTTTGAAAGGAGTATTGTCTAATTACTAGAGCATACACCATGGTTAAAAATTCCTACAGTTAGTTCTAGATTCTGTTACAGACTGATATATGCCATTTAGTAAGTCTCTTAGAAAGCAATTTTCAAAATATGGTGTCTAGGAAATATGTGCATATTTTAAAAATGCTAAATATTTGTATTTATGTAACAAACAGTACTAGACCAATATTAAACATTAATATTACATTATTTTAAAATTAGCTGCCAAATTTCACTTTGTCAATGAAAACAGAATTGTAACTGATATTTGCGTGTTCGTTATCTCTGCCTAGGTGACTGAAGGAATCATCTGTGCAATTTCTATTTACAATTGCACATATACTTTGCATACCTAGATTGTACTCCTCCTACATTGAAAAGCAGGCTCCGCATGGATATTGTGGTCATAAGAAAAGAAATGGATGTTGTTCTGGTTTAGGATTATTACTAATATATTCACTTATTTGTGCAAAATATTCTGAGGACCCAACATTCAATCGACCATTAAAAAACCAAAACTGTAAAAATTTTGGTCAACTCAAGTCAGAAAGGCACTGATTACCCTTTCTCTTTGCATTTGGTAACTATGAACAAATTATTTCCCATTGTTCATCGTATATGTAATGTTTTAAAAAGAAAATACACTTTTTCTATATCATTTACATATAGTACACATTATGTATCATTGAAGTATTTTTATGTCAAAACATTAAAAAAGCATAGAACAAACTGCAAATTCTCAAGCTGCATTATATTTTACAGGGACATATACAACTCTGTAGGGAGTCAAATTATTTAAATTCTGCCTGCCTTTCTTTCTAGGGCAGGAACTAAATTATGGTCTCCACAAGTTTCAGAGGATGGCAAAGCACATCCCTTCAAGATAAATTTGGAAGCAGAACCACAGGTATGAATCGTTAAAAGTTACCTAACCATTTCCATTCGCCTTTTTACACTCTAAATGATCTCCCTTGTGGTCATTAAAATTCTTTGAATAGCACTTCATGCATTATCTGCCAGTTTAAGCTAATACGAACTATTATGATATATGTGAACATCATCTTATCTTATTTTGATTTTACAGCTATAACTGAAACAAAACATTAACAAGTTACAACATATTCTCATTTTTCTTTAAAACCGTACATATCACCATAGTCTTATTATGGAAAGAAAACACCTCCTTTTATTCTGATACAGTTTAAGTTGCTTTAACTCTTTTAGAGATTCTTAATCATATGAGGAAGTTCTTCAATCAGGAATAAATGTCAAGTACCAAAGCAATGCACTCATCACATCACAAAAGTCATTTTGATGTAAGAGTCAGTTAAATAGAGCTCCGCTAACGCTGGGTCTCTCTACTTCGATACATTTTTATGTTACACCACAGAACTGAAAGTTACAAATTTGTACAAAACCCATGTACTGATCAATAAGCAAACGATTCACAACTTCTGACAAGATCCTTGTATATGACCAAAGCAAATCCAATTCACTGAAATCCTCCTCTCTCTTCAAACTCACACCCAGTCCCTTGTGCAAAGCCATGAGCTGAAGTCTCCATATTGTTAATAGCTAATTAGCTAGCTGCTGTCTACAACTAGTGCTTTATTCCTTTCTCATTCCTCTTTAACCTACGTGAACATTTGCTGTTGTCTCAAGAGGGAGGAAGGAAGAGTATTCTGCTGATCCTGGAAGGCCAGGATCAAAGCAAGTATGTCAAAGTATTTGTTCTGTGCTATCCTAGAAAAAAATGTAAGTTCAGATTCCATTTCAATAAATCCTGTGCAATAAATACTTCCACCAATTCTGTTTTCACAGAGACACTCCCAAACATGAATATGGCATTTCAGTGTTCCAGTTCTCTCTCTTCTTTCCAATCTAAAGATTTGCATTAAGTGATACAGCAAACTTCATCAGAAATAACATAGGCTCTTCAGCAGCAGGAGATAGTACAGTGAAGAAACAAAATTATTTTAAATCCATATTTTTTCTGGAATAGCTAGAATACCCACAAAATAAATAGCAATGGAACCAATTCACTAAAAAAGCTATACAGAAAACGTGTAGGCATGTACGACAGGAGAGTAATCCCTTTGCATGAAAGCTGCATTCCTATAAAGAATAATTACTTAAAAGAACTCACGAGGTTTCACTAAGTGCTATTTGGCAGACTATTGAAAAGCAGTCTCCACTGGGCAATCAGAAAAACTGTTTCTCCTAGATTAAATAGCCAACCTCTTCATTTTAGATATCTCTCTCTTTCCTTCCTAGGAAAATCAGGACTATCGAGTATATTCTATAAATAGCAGGCCTCAGAAAAGTAGCAATGCTTGTAAACAAATATGCTAAACCATTCTAGGGACGACTTACATTTTAGATTAAATTCTTCCATCCAAGAACATCCATCACTCTGATCTCCCTGTGGGAAAAAATCAACCTTTTTTTCTACAATTGCTGAAATTTTAAACTAAATTTTACTGCATATTTAGTCACAACACACAAGACCCAGCAGTGTGTATACCAGTAGTGAAAACAGTACAACATCACAGTTTCTTTAACCTCAGATGACAAATTATTGCATAACTATAACCAGTGCTGTTTAGGTCATACTAGAGTTTGCTGAAGTCTAACAATAAATAAAGGGATTGAAGCCCAGATGAATGGAAAAAAATCCAAAAGCAGTACAGTGTTACTTCAAATGTAAAACTCTTTTATCCAAAAGTATTGTACACATTGACTGGTGTGCAGAAATGGAAAATCACTGAATTCTATGAAAAGCATTTCCTCCATTTATATAATAATTAAAATTACTCAAAAGGTCATAGATGTTATAAATGTAGTCAGATTTTTTTCACTCTTGCTAGACAGACATTTTCAAGTTCACTAAGAAAGTTCCACAAAGGAAAGTCAATAATTTAAAATACATTATAACCCAACTAAATAACAATAATAGATGAAGACTCATACAATCTTCTTAGTAAGTACCTCATTTCTATTTGCAACCTAATAAAAGATAGCTACAGATGAAAGTAGAACATATTTTAAATTGTTTAGGAGTTTGGCCAAATATTTGGCTCCAATGAATGCAAATGATTCTACAGATGCTTGGAGATGGTCATGTGAAAACCAATAAAAACCTAAATACTGTGCCTACTTGCAGCTATAGAACAAGGAACCTTTACACCGTAGCAAACTTTTGCATTAGTCTGAGCATCTCCAAAGAGTCATTTGGAGATTGATATAGGCAATTGTCATAGCACAATGAAAGCTCTCACTATTTTTATCTCTGGGAAAGGGAACCGAGGCAACAATTCTAGTAAATAACCTACAGCAATAAGTGGCTGACTAAGAGCCACTCTGGAAAGCTACATAGAAAAACCAGCCACCTAATTTTGTTAGTTTGGAGCAACCTATAGCATGATGGATACATAATAGGAAATAATAGACTATTTGAAGTATTACTAATGCAATCACATCATATTCTATATAAAAGCAATTTAGAACCTAAGGTTCTCAAAGAATATAATTAGGAGGAGAAAATAAAACAATCTAAATGGCAAACTTTATCTTGAAAAAATTATTTTTAAAATTCTTTCTGCTGAATTGTCAGTGTAAAACAATACTGTGACCTGTAATTTTTTTCTCAGTTACAATCCCTTTAACCTCATCTAAAATTTCTTGAATTGTTTTTATTTGGGCTTTTCGTTTTTGCCTTTGAAAATTCTGTTCAGTGTGACTAGGCTTTTGGCCATGAAAGACATTATACATTCCTGAGAGATATAAATATACTATATACATAGATAAGTATAAAGATCTAAAAGAAACAAACAAAAAAAACCCCACCAACCCTCCACTATTCTAAAAAGTAAATTTATAGTCTATTACCACTTATAATCAAATTTTGAAACAATGTAATTGTGCTAGTCTAGTTTTGAGGACCTCGCCCCCTTCCATAACAGCATTCAAACATAAAGGCTTTAGTCACATGGTACCTCCAAAATGTAAACATCTGTGTACTGCCATAGCAATTATCCCCAAGGAATGCCATCATATGATCCGTGTTGGATGCATTTCTACAGATTTGGGGGCTACATTCATTCTATTCCTGATATGTATATCAATGCAAAATGTAGTTAGCCCTGCAAAAAGGGCATCAGTCAGCTGGAAAAAAATTAAGAAATTAAATACTGTAATTCTCAACTATTCCTGGGTAGGAATTTCAACAACCTCCAGTTCTCATTTAGCTTTTGAACTAAAGGAGGACTTTTCACAGATTCAATGTGATCCAATAAACACAAGAGCTGGACTATTTTTGCTGCTGTATGTTCTGTCACTGACATTTTATATGAATAGATGAGTTAAAAAGAAAACAGAATTTAACTCTAACTAACTGCAAATACTTGTTTCACAACTGTTACACTGTAAACATTATGGTGTCACGTCTTCTGTGATGTTCATTTGTCAACAAGAAATAAAAAAGGGGATGAAATTACAATGTTGATGGTTGTTTTTGTTCATTTTGTATCATACATGGATTTAAATCAATTTTGAACACTTTGACATTAATGTCTTTCATTAAGTAGACATGATCCTAAATACTAGTAGATTATCTCCATTTACTAACACATTTTGTTAATTGCAACCCAGCTCTATCAGACAGAAACAAGGAATTGCAAGAAAAATCTTTGTGCTCATTTATCTGATTGCTGCTTTCAGTAGTCTCATAGTGTAATGCTGCTAAACATTTTCATTTAATAAAACTGCTTTTTACTGTTTGCATTTTCTGGTTGCACATTCTATATATCCATGACTTTTCTTTAGGTCTGTTCCTAAATATATTTCTGAAACTGCTGTTTCAAATGAAAACAGAGGGCCAAGTCACACTCAGGTTTTCATAATTTTTATAAATTATTCACCAAAACTTTCAGCAGAAACTTGATATTGTCTGAGAAAGGAAATAATGCACTGAGGAATGAATAAAAATCTACATATGTCAAAATATGTCCATGCTTACCTAATCTGCTCTTATTATCTTGATTTTTTTTCTGTGGATTTGAGTATTCAAATATCTGTTTTGGTTTTTGGTAATATGTTGTATTTGTCCTAACTGGATTTTTGTCTAGCATTCCTAAAGGCTAAGATAATCTAAAAAAAAAGGCATTTCTGCATCAAAAAACCACTTCGTTTAGAGTTTTACTTAGCAGAACAAGGAGACTAGTTTGTACAGCTTGCAAGACATAAGTGAATGACCACAATTGCACCTGAATAATTTTAAAGCTGAAGATGTCAGGTGTGTCACCATTAAAAATATGTGATAGCAAATACCAGACATTATAGACTGCACACAGTGATTAAGCCAAAAACTCTGGTACCTAAGACACAAGCTTCAACAATTTGAAATAAATCTCATTCAGCAGTATCAGAACTTAAGACTGTCTACAGGTCATACGACACAGTGGGATAGCAACATAAATACGGAAATGGTCTACAGTATTGTAGACGTATTCCTAGTACACCAGTCACGCTCAAAACCAAAGCCAAATCAGAGAACTGGCAAACATTTCTATGAAAATTGAAGTATTAATGACCTCTGCTATCTTAACACTGCAAGTTCCAGTCTCTAAAGAAGAGAACAATTCAGATTGTAGAAACCTATTTGTTAGGAACAAGACCTTTTTATTCCATATGGATGGAAGTTCAAGTGCTCTCACAGCACTGTCTCCAAAGAGCGCTGCAGGACCTCAGAACAAGGTGCTGGACTACAGCACCAAATGTTCTTCACCCACTAGTGCAGAAGGAAAGAAAAAAAAAATCCTCAGCAGATGGCAACACTATTTTTTCCAAAGTCTGTATTTCTGTGGATTAGGGATGGACCTGAGCTGACCGGAACTCAAAGGAGACTGTACTAAATATGCACAATACAAACAAGTGAATTTTCACACAGTAAACGGTGTTTATCATTCCTGGCCAGTCACTACAGAAGAACATTTTAAGTTATTTGAAAGGTCATCAGAGATTTTGTTTCCAGATCTTATCCCTATGAATTCCATAACTGGGCCAACAATAAACAAAATCATATTCCAGAAATAACCAAACATAGGCAGAATGATTTCCAATTTACCCATTTCTGGGTTTTACTTATTTATGATGATTTCACATTACCTCTAAATTATACAGCATCACAATTTTTGATGCACAGGTATGCTTCAAAGTATGGAATAAGTTCAGAGAATGTCCTCAATCTGATGTATATCAAGACTATTTCCATTAAAAGAAGTGTTTAAAATTACGTGTTTTCTAGGCAAGACATTTACAATAAAATCTTCACGCTTTTGCGAGTCCCTCCGTTAGTATGTGACAAAAATGCAGAAGCCAGAGATTAGCACTACAGCAAAGCAATTAAGCTAACTAGACATTAAATGTTTCTAAAAGAAGAAGGTAAACATTGCAAAATTTAGAGAACAATACAACAAGTTACTACAATATTCATTATTCCCACTTCTTCTTAAAGTTGCACACTATTTACAAATGTGGAATGCCTTCTGTTTGCCCTGAGGCAGGAAAACAACAGTCTCTGAATGTGTATGGCTTAAGTATCCTATAGAAAATTCATGGGAAAATATAGCGTGCTTGCACCAGTTAAAAAATAACAAAGTCGCAAAAGTAAAAAATGCAGAGATTAACAATACTGATGTTGTCAGTTTTACTCATTACTAGCTTTGGTGTGCATTGTAGCTTTGTGTATTTTGTCTGCCTATCACGTACAGGAATTCAAGCCTATTGGTACAGCTCACAACAGAAGGGCCCAGCCTTTTGTTGCGGCAGCAAATATTGATGACAAAAGACAGGTAGTGAGCTCCTCCTATAATTCTCCAATTGGGCTGTATTCATCTGGCAATATTCAAGACGCACTTCATGGACAACTGAGGGGTCTCATTCCTAACTCATCGCAAAAGTGAGTACTGGTATTTACTTATAATACATGGTCATTTGTGGTATATCACTATCTGTTCTGTTTTCAATTTAAAAGTCCAGCTCTTGCTGTTTTTTCTGATAATCAGGAGTTTATTGATTATCCAAAAACAATGGTGATAAATGAAGCAATTCTTTCCAACACAGAAAACTATCCATTCGGCTCTGTAGTAGCAATGCCGCAGGTAGCTAAAATTTGCCCTCTCTGTTGGGCTGCAACACTACCTACCATCCTTCCCTCTTAATGACCGCACTTCACTCTGAATGTTTCTGAACACTAAAGTGATTGTATTTTGAGTAGCAGGCATGTACAAACTAAACTCCGTTACTTCATGGTTACAATTTTAAAACTTTGTTAGCTCCTTTTTAACTAGAAATAAGCATTTGTAGGCCAAAGAAAGTTATTTTAACCCTCTTTTCTTTACAGGATATGAACTACTTTGAACACAAGCATAATATTCGGCCCAAACCTTTCATAGTCTCAGGCCGAAGCAGGTTATAAACTCTGAGTGCTGTGCTGGATTTGGATGCATGGTGTTATTTTTAAATGGATACTGACTGTTCACATTAACAGAGCATACTGATGCATTTGAAATTTACTCATAGTAGTATATAGCCTAACACTGAAATTAAAAAAAAAAAAAAACTGAAATGGTTGACTTGCAGAGATCAGGCTTGAAATTCAAATTTCTATTTCCAAAAGAAAGCAGGTCCACACTCCCATCTCAGTTATACTGATAAGAGTCTGAAGTAATTGTATTTATTAATCTGATTGTTTACAGCATTGCACCAGATGTTGTGTTCTTATAAATCTACAGTGCTCTGAAATCCTTCTGTCCAAATGCAAATACATGTAATTTGTTAACTTGCTAAATAAAAGATAGCTAGTTATATAAGTTATCATCTAGGGCATTCAGAGCTTTTAAGTTTGCTTTGCAGCAGACCTCTATTCAGAAGGCAATCTAATGCAGAGCTAAAATAGGAGAACTACTGATGCCACAGACATGCTCTAAAATGTAGAAAAGCTTATATATTTACATCTACCATTTTAGTGTAATATTCTTCTACCATAACTGGGGATGAAATGCCTCACTATTATTTACATTATTAAATACAGACGGGAAAAAGCAATGCAAACTCTGTGGCCAAAAACACAAGGAAGTTCAGAAGTGCCTGAGTGATGCAATATATTGTGATGCTACCTGTTATCCTTTCTAGCAGTAGCAGTTTTTACCAGTGGACTTAGTGTTCCGCATTTCACTCTGGAAGTTTAAAATGCCTGTATTTCAATTATACTAATTTAAGTCTGACAAACTAGACCAGAAAAACAGGATGATAATTGATTCCTGTGTGAAAAGGACAATCTCATATGGTCTATCAGTTTCGTGAGATGTGTTAAATTTTTCAACCACCTGAGTGATAAAGAGGAGACTGTAGAAGATGGATAGAGTCCCACTCTTCTGTGAACAAGAACTATCAATGTAGAACACCACCGCAGTCGAGAAAATGTGCCCATGTCCCCTTGCAGTCTGATGCTGACCCAGGATAAATGACAAAACAGTCCTTAGCGAACACACATGGCCTCTAACCATAGGCAGCACCTGCATACTGTACCTAAACTGACTTTTGGACCACTAGGTACCATTTACAGGTACCTAATCAGATATATGGAGATTCAAATGAGTGTATCAAAAGCCTAATCTCCTAATTCAGAAACCTCAAAAATTCCATGAAAATATTGAAATAAATGGCCATTTCCCAGCACGTCAGATGGGGAAAAAACCTGCAAAAATTAACCTGACAGTGATGCAGCAAGTTTTAGAACTTTACTTGGGCAAGGTCTGTCAGGTGTTCTAGCTGGAGAAGTCTGTGTTTGCACACTGCAGAATCTCTGATGCAGGGTGTTACATCGACAAAACATTGGTTGTCACACTGTTTGTCTGCTACTTTTTCATCAGTTTGGCTCAATATATATCCTCTGCTAAACACCACAAAAGCTAAACCGCCATCTTGACTGTAAATATCCCTTCAGGACTTTGACTAAAAGAAGAGCTGATTCTGGACTGTGGGTTTGAGCTAACAGATTGGACATTAGCCACAATTTTGGACTTTACTCTGGCAAAACTAACTGGAAAATATATTTAATATATAATTACATTTTATTTATACTTATAATTTATTCTGTTTTAACATTACTTTGGCTGCTCATAGCAACAGTTGTGCTTTTTCTAGCCTTTTCCTGCTACTTTTCATTTACTAACACTATCAGCACTGACAAAACTTATTCTACTGCAGGATCTAAAGGTGGTCTTGATTATTCTAAAAGAAAAGACTGTAAATTTGTAAGTTGCCCTCATGTGAATTTTTTGGCTGGCTCATGCTAGGCGATGATGCAGAACAGTACTTTTGCTTTAAGGCTTGCCTACCATTTCTGGAATTACCTTTCTTTTGATATGTCTTTGATGGTAGAGTATATATTTCCTTTTAGATTTTTGAGAAAGTGGTCCTACACAAATTCCCATCTGAATCAAAGGGAGATTTTTGGGTCATCTTCTCCACCCACGAGTAGCTTCTGGGTAGAGTACGGTACTATCAAACTGGGAAATAAGAGTATTTCAGCTTGGAAAGAACTAACCACAACCCTGATATGTAGGTTGGAGGAAAAAGACTAAGTATTTATCATCTCATAGCTCTGAATATCACATAAATGGCAACCAATCACTGTGGAAAGCCTGGGTTATGTGCTGTTGCACGGCAATAGCAAAGAAATATCCTGTAACAAAGAAAACCTCCAAGGTGCAATGGAGAAAAGACTGAAGTGTTCAAAATAGTGACATTGAAAAATACTTTGAGCTCAATGTTCACATTATTTTACTAATCCTTTTCCAGAGATATCAAATTGGTGTGCAGTAACTTCAGTAACGTCAAGCAACATTAATATTTCTAAAAAACTGTACATCTTTTTTTATCATACATAAATTATATGTAAAATCTACTTCAAAAGCAGTAAAATTAATTCTCTGAATACATATCCATTGTTCTTGTGAAGGACCACTTTATATTCTACTGGAAAGACTGTAATTTAGAAATGCAAAAGTATGCCTGGCTGTTTTAGTATCTTTTCTTCTTTGAAATGTTAAAAAAAAAATTAAATGAAATATATTGTTAAACTAATTTTAATATATCAATAAATATCTTATTGTAGAATTTAAGGAAATCTAAGAAATGTCACATTCATCATTTTATAGTAGTCTCTTCAACTGTGGACTGAGATGGTTGTGAGGTACAGGACTGGAATGATGTGTCTAGGATTCCAGTACTGCAGGTGTTTATTCAGTCACTGACATGGATATAACCTTTGTATGTTACCCTTTAGTAGGTGTTAAGAATAACTCACCTAGAAGAAAGAATTTTAGGGAGGCTTAATTAATCCTGAATAAAATCTAGCATTAAAAATGTAAAGTAATATTATGTTCTGAATTATTCAATCTATTAAAGAAATTTTACTGTCTTTAAAGAAAATGCATGCCAGAATTTTAAGGACTGCTTTGTAACTGTCATTGATACTTTTTAGGGGAATATACTTTTCAATGAATACATATACTTTTGCTTTTGTCTACTTTCTGTACTTTTGCTTTTCTGTATCTGTTCTATTTACGCTTTTCAGCCCTGTTAACCTCACCGTATTCCTGTACTTTTGTCTCTATTCTCTATAATCCCATACGCATTGCACACTCTTCTGTAATCTGGCTATTAACACAGTGGATGCAGCACTCCTTCGGGGATTGACTGTGGCAGTGGACGCAGTACCCCCTCTTCAATTAGCACGGTTAGCTCTATCTGCCCTACCGAGCTGAAAGCAGTGTCTAAGATGGCCCCTAACATTCCCTTGGAAATGGAGCTTCCTGGTGTCAAGATTGTACACGCTCAGTTTAACACACCTATGCAGTTGTACTCAGATGACAATATCATGGAAACACTGCAAGGCCAAGTTTCTACAGCTCTGGGGGAAACACCTGTAATAAGGTAATTAGCACAGTATCTTTAATATTTACAAATATACAAATTTAGAATACACCAAAAATCATGAGCTTTAATAATATCACACTGTTTCTATGATAATGGATAAAAGGGTTAGAGTGAACCTGAGTAATTGAAAGTCATTCAGCATTTTCATTAAAATATTAGTAATTTATGATTTTTAACCCAAAGTATTAAAGGAGTCTTTCAGAACTTACAAATTAGTATTTCATGGAAAATAATCTTATATTTGTAGCTAATAAATAAAAACTGACGATACTATCTGGACTATTAGCTGACTGACCATTCCAAATCAAGATCCCGACTCCCTCCAAAATTCAAAACTATTTGTTATTATTATAATAATTATTTAATAACATTTAATAACTTGTTCTTATTAATAATTAATAAAATATTATCATTAACTCAGATTTATTTCAGCTGTTGAAATTGAAGTTATGAAGCTTAGGAAATCTTGTAGATGTTTATACTGTTTGAGATATTTAACTCCCATTCAGGACAACTCATTCAGTATGACTAGCTCTTGACCAAAAAGAGCCAGAATTTACTTTGTAGGCCTACTAATTCATCTCTGACTTATGAATTTTATCCATTGCAATGACTAAAAGTCAGGTAGGAACCTTATGTATCTGGATAACAACAATGATTAAACAATAAAAACTTTTAAAGCACTATTCACTTTTTTCAAGGGACAATTCATCATTCACATTGCTTTATCTTTACTTTTGCATAACGGAAACTTATTTTTTCTGCTTTACAACAGTACTTAAGTTAATAATTCATAGTATGTATGGTGTAAACTAAAGCTAATTACTAATATTTTGAATAAGCAATAATCACTGGCACCAATAGCCTTTTTCAACACCTTGCACAATTGGGCTGTTACTAACCGTAAAAATCATATTTATATAGAAGTATTGAAGTTCACTCTATCCGATTAAAAAACCCCTGTAATTCATGACATCTTTGCAGAGTGATGTTACTTGATTGCATGAATATTTATCCTCAATCACAACAATTAGAGAACAATAAAATAAACAGTTGCTTTTTCTTTATTCTGTAATCATGGATGAAGCCCAGAGTAATCAGATTTCACAAATGCCTGTGGCATTCCCAGTTTGAGAACTGACTCTCTATAGTGGTTTGAAATGTCTCTTTTGTTGTGGGATTGGTTTTCACTATGTATTTATTTAGAAATGTTCTCTCACACCTTTGGTTTTTTGCCATCTGTAAGTAATTGTATTATCACTTGTTTGATGTTTAGAAATATTTTAGTAAAAAGCAGAGAATCAAGGGTTTAATTAGCCATTGGTGAGAATTGTTAAAAACAAGCTCCTTCAATAGAAAAGCTTGTGACAAGAGAAGAAGGTGGTATTTTCTTCATCAGCTTAAAGATGGCTCTGAGAAATCTGTTGATTGATGAAGATGCAAACAATTAACATAAGCAACAGGGGTCACTGTCCAACTGCGGCTGCTCTTACTGTGCCATTTGACAGCTTAGATGCTGCCCTGAGAAATAAATCAAACAATATAAAGCAAACCCCCGTCTAATTCCTTGTGGAATTAGTTGCTTGTTTCCAGTGGAACCTTACCTAAAGTTCAACAGACAGTAGAAGGCCAGTTGTAACAGGAAATTTAAACTGGATGTTTATGTATATGTCAGCGAGATAACAGACTTCATCAAAGTAAACTTGCACCTTCTAATTAGTCCCAGTAGCAGTTTGAAATTTACAGATGCCACACATTCAGCCTAATTCCTGCCAGTGCATATAGTCATCTGCTCTTCCTCTCAACTATTTAGGATGTTAGGTATCATGATCCATTTAAAACATTCAGCATAGTTTAAAATACCATGAAATATTCTTGGTAAAATCATTGACTCATGGGTCATTGGAAATTCAACCTTCAACTGTTGTTTGGACAACAATTTACTTTATATTTTTATCGCAAAATTGGCATTACAAAAATTAAGCCATGTCCCATTCTAATTAAACTAAAAAATACAATTTCCCTTCATCAATGTTCACCTTACAATGCTGTCTACTATGCAATAACTGCTTCACTCTTTTTTGTCATCTTTGTAAGTTAAATAAGTAACAATTATCATAGCAAAATAATCACTACATTAACTAGTGATTGAGCCGACTTTGAAAAGTAGGAACACCTTCACGTCATGATGCTCTCCCAAAAGATTCGTTTGCTTAGGTTTTGGCTGACTTTATGTAAAGATATGAGCTGTGGTTTTAACAACATTCTTGAGGCCAGCTGCTGTGAAAATAGAACTTCTGGATACCGTAACAAAGAGCACCTGGTAATACAGCATTGGATTACAGGAATGCAACCGCTTTGAGGTTAAATACAGGTATCAGCCTAGAGTCAGAACAGAAATTATGGAAATGCTTTCTTGAGTTTGTAGATTTATTTTTATAACAATTGCAGATTTTTTTTTCAGCACTTTTTAGGTCAAGAGAAGGCTATATAAAGCAATGCTACCTGGAAAAAAGAGTCTTTCAGTAGTTGTAGAAACACATTGTCTTTATATTTCTTTCCTGAATCATATTCTATGCCTGGTAGAGCTATTGCTTTAAAGTTATGTTTCTTAAACTGCTTTATCTGCTCTTCCTCCCTGTGATACAGTGACCCGTCTCCCAACTCAGTGCCTCAGTCTGACGTGTACAAGATGCTGCATGCCAACCAGGAGGAGCCCAGTCAACCTCGCCAGTCTGGCTCCTTTAAGGTGCTCCAGAATTTAGTCTCCGAGGAAGGTGGTTAATAATGACATATTCTACCTGTTCAAAGTATTTTTAAATGTTTGTGGGAAGGGAGAATCTGAGAAGAAAATATGAGAGATCAGAGCTATAAAAATTTCTGAAAGTCCAAGTCATTCTGAATCTTATAGATAGCACACCAGCCTCCTTATTACATTTCCCTCCTTGCTTTTATAGCTAGCAGTCTCCTGTGTGACTGAAATTGGGGTGTTAATCACATTTCTCAGAATCTCTTCTCAGATTTCAAGATATGTACAAAGTTGACTTTAACTGAATGATTAAAAGTTTTATATGAGAGAACTTTTGGGACAAGATGCATATACTCATGACACCAAGAAAGAAAACACTTTCTTCCACATCCAGGAAAAGAGAAATTTAAATCAACTTCTAAAATAATTTTCACCCATCCCCTCTTCATTCTAAATAAAAATTGAAGAGGAGAATATAATTTATAGTCATATTCCCTTCAAATGAAGTTTTGAAAATAACATTACTAAAGGCTGCAAGTTTGTTATATTTACAGTAATAAATAAAGAATAAAATACAACCAAAATTAACCTTAAAAGGTAAATATTTAAAATTTTAAATTTTATATCTCAATATTTACCAGAGAGGGGACAAATACATCTAATGGTCTATATATATCTTGTGGGATTTTGCTTGACATTTTCTTGGATGTTGCTATATTTTTTAATTCATATCATGTGACTAATCTTTCCGAATTCATTGTATTGTAAGTTATATAGATACGAATCTTTCTAACATAGAACTTGACTATGTTATGTTGCTGTGGTAAACCAAAGTCCTCCTCCCTCTCCTGCTATACCCAACGCCTACTATCAGAGAATTAGATGATGTCTGTGAGGCACTATGTATGTAATGCATGCTTTTTGGCTACAGCTACACAATGCTGTTCCCAATTCTAAAGAGGTAGAATCTGGCCCACTAAACTTGTATAGAGAAACTTCATTGTTTGTTGATATAAATGAAAGCCTGTAAATATATCCAGAAGTGTATTTACAGGAGAAGTATTTAACTGCATCAGATGCTTTTATATTAGCCTGTACATAAGAGGATTGTTTTGGTTCTCAGATGGACGCCCCATGGGTACAAGAAGTGTGAAAGCGCCTGTAACAAAGATACCAACTGCCATGCCTGGTGTCCAGAAAGTGCCACTGTGTGACAAGTGTGGGAGTGGGATTCTGTAAGTTGTTTCTTTTTGGTTTTAGAAATCTCTAGTTCAAGCACATGTCCTCAAATACCACCACAGACTACACTTTCCAAGTGATGGTGTTGGTCTCTGTCTGCACTAGTAGAAAAATACTTCTTGACAACATAGATATAAAAATATATTGTTCTAAACCCCAAATTATTAACCTGTACCTTAGACACTTTCGATACAGATTATTTCAGTTTTCATAACGTACCGTCAAGGCTTTAAGATTTTTCAGGACCTGTTGCGAGTCAGTCATTAACACATACATAATGAAACCAGCAGGTAACTGTGCTGCATTGTCCCAAGCTGTGAATTCTCAAAAGTTTCTTGGTACTATAAAACATCTTTCTCCCAACCCTGCGGGAGTATCCAGAAAGCTCTATGGGCCTATTTTAAAACTACCAGATTTCTATCTGAATGACATCACTAATTTCAACAAAGAACACAGATAACGATGAGCTCAGAGAACACAGTCACTGAGGAAAAGAAATGTGGTTTTTAGACTCATTTTGTCACATAGTTTCTGTGTTGTAGCCAAACTAACATGTTTCTTCAAACTCTGGTTTTCCAATGAACTATTGAACTTCGTGATCAACTCTACGCCATTTTATGTCACCTACTCAAACTCAGCTTCCAACCTGAAATTATATAGTAGTTGGCAAAACCACCAGACGAACAACCTAAAAGCCTTAAGATAAATACCTAGAACTTACCTTGTGTCATACTGTAGTTTCTTCTCACTTTAAATTAATTTTAATTAATTGGGTTTTTTTCTTTTCCTTGTTTCCATATAGAGGAACAGTGGTGAAGGCACGTGATAAATACCGGCACCCAGAATGTTTTGTGTGCTCTGACTGCAATCTCAACCTGAAACAAAAAGGCTACTTCTTTGTGGAGGGCCAACTATACTGTGAAACTCATGCACGAGCTCGCATGAGGCCACCAGAGGGATATGAAGCAGTTACTGTTTACCCAAAATGCTAGTCTTACGTTAACACACAAATACATGCATGCACACAAAAAGCCATTAACAGCTTAGAACTGCAATACAAGTGTCAGGACTTCTGCCTGATTCCAAAGTAGCAGCTTTTAAACCTTTTCTTGTGGGATTCTGAGGGAGGTGGAAGTCCCTATTAGCCAGCAGTAGCATATTATGCCAGTAAAATTCTGCCAAAATATTATCTTTGAAGTTGCCATTATAAGTCAATGAAGTATAAACTAAGACAGCTGTACTGGAATAAAAAAAGTGAAACAGCTGAGAGATTATAACAGCATATACATAAATGCTGTAAGCAAGACATTATTTTTAATATAAACTAAGTGTGCAAACACCAAAGCCATCAAAGTGTTACAGGCTGGGCCCTAACAAATGCAGAAACTTGACAGATCATTAGAAAAGCAGCTATTTTACATGCATAGTAAAACAAGCAGTTGTTTATGTATGCTCCCACCATCTATTATTCAACTATCATTAATGTATGCCAAAAATAGATTTTGCTTACTTAGCTTTGAATTTGGGGTTATATTGACTTAATTTTCTGATGTAGCAACTGTGATAAGGAATAAATATCAAGTCATAAAATAAAATGGCTAGTATAATAAAGACTGTTTAGTAAGAAGCAAAACAGAAGTTATACGTTGTTTTAATGATTTGCAATGGAATCAGCTTTCACATCACTTAGCAGAAAATTGTTCTGAGGCATGCACACATATACATTGTTTTTTGGAAAAAAATCCCCCACAGTCTAATAGCAACTCACTGCAAACTGAGAATGATGCAAATTTCAAAACATATCTGCAGAAAATAGTACTGGGTTTTTGCATCTAGAAACAATGGGGAAATATCACCATAATATCTTTATTGTTGGTAAATTAAAACTTGGACAACTTTTAAAATAAATGTTAATTAAACTATGCAAAGGAAAGATCTTTTATAAAAAGCCTAGTGAAGTCCTAAGGGAAAAAAAAAAAAGCTGAAAGCATACAGTTTTTAAATCAATTTCTGAAACTTTTTAAGGGCTACACTGCTTTCAGGTAGGTGCCAGCTGCATATACGCATCTGAATGACAAACCAAACCTTAGCATTTTCAAAAAATATCAACACAATTCATAAATTATTTATTGTGGTATTTTGAACCCACTTTAAAGTAAAAAAATCTACAACATTTTATATCCTCCACAAGACTAGCACAAATTAACAGCTCAGTGGCAAACAATCTTATATACCATTCCCATTCTACAATATAAGAAGCTCAAAATGTAGAATATGGAATCAAAATAAGGAGCTCTACGTACTTTAAATTTATTTTTTAAATTCAGATGAGTCCCAAAGCTTGAAATACAACATCCACATATTCAAAGACTTTTCAAAATGTCTTAAACTATTATTTCAGATTTTAAATGTTTTTAAAATGTGCGTGTCATTGCATTTATAATTTATGTCTGCGTATCAAAAGCAAACATAAAAAAAAGCATTGCACCCTTTTAAAGGTTACTTCCTGAATTGTTTTTGGGCACAAAACATAATTCAGCCTCCATGATACCTGAGGAGCAATGTGTAGCATTTATATTTTTCCACTAATAAAGCCCGTAAAATAAATACGAAAATCCTTTGAAAGTGAGAGTGCACGTAATGTCTGTTTTTACAAACCTAAAATGTCATCAGTGTTTTAAAATATTTGCTTAATGTTCATTTCTTTGTGGAGTAACTGAAGGTAAAAATAAATCTACTACATATGATAAAGATTCTGTATGTCTTTTCAACTGATATGAAAAATGAGAAACTGTGAGTGTCAAGTAACTTGACAATAATAGAAGTTTGGCATTTTCAGTCTGACAGAGGAGTATGCTTCAGATTTATCAAACCGCTGGCAAGAATGAAACACAATTTTTGTATTGGACATATGAGTATGCAATCTGGGCAAAATTAGCTTTTTAAAACTGAATAAGATCATGTTCTTTCAAAACCAGAGACCCAAAACTACTCTCTCTTTAGCAGGCCCAACATACCAATTGTAAATGTGGGGAAACTCTCAGAAATGTAGATACGAGAACCATTAGGTTAAAAGAAAGTCACAGAACATGACCTGATGCCAAAACTTTGGTGAAAGTTTAGTGATATTGCATCATCACAGGGTGCTATTTTGAGAGGTTTGAGGTTGGACATGACTTTGGTGGAATTAGAAGGTAAGCCTATCTAATTGCAAGTACTGACCTATGTGAAAACCTTTACACTAATATAACATAAAGGAAACAAGGATTTTCAGTTAATGCAGATTCTAAAATCCTTGATCCTGATAGAGGAGAAAAACAGGAAATCTTATCCTACAGTCACTTCAGTCTGGAGGAATTGAATATAGAGATTCAAATGTGAGAGAAAGCTATAGCAATTCTCTCTATTGCATGCTCAAGGCCCAATTCTTTATCTCAATAGCGCACCAGTGGTTCCTGGCACAAATTCTTTACAAAGTGTCCAGCTAAAGAACTATCCACTTTATCTTCTGGTTTAAGAATGGCGTAGCTAGTAAATCATCTCAGCTGTGTTCAGACTTTTATGTATATATATTACAAGCCAAAGAGAGCCATGGCATTTATTTTTAGATGGAGAGAAAGATAGTAAGTGTGACTTCACATGCTTGTTATCTCGACTCTTCAGATGTTGATCAACAGGTGTGAAAAGCTTTCCTCAGCCATGCTCCTGCTGCATAAACGGGGGCTGTTTTGGGAAACGTTAAAAACTTATATGAAACTGTAATTCTTCAAATCAGTAACCCAAGAATTGCATCTGAAAATACACAGATTAATTTATATGGTACTTTTGTATCAATTGTTTCAATACAAATGCTTTTGGTCTTTTCAGTAATGCTGAAGTGTTGCCAACAATCTGAAATCTAAAAAGTTCTCTAAAGTACTTAAAAGAAACTATGATATTTCCATCAACTCTTTTTCAGTTTTTCAACCACATTTCATCACTTCAAAAATTCGACTAACACTTTCGATCAGATCAGAAGTACGCTGCTGAAAGTAAACCCTCCATCACTCCCACTTGCTGAATTTTAGTTCACATCACGTAACAGCTTCAGAGTGAACAAAGTGGTTTCCTTTATGATGAAATTCAACTAGAAGATGATCTCTGGGAGCACTGCTAATGCACACCAACCACTAAAGGGAATTCAGTCCATAGAATCAAACTAGAGCTAAACAGCCCCTCCCTGAAACATGTATTAGGTAGGATGCCAGGTCCTCAATACCAACTGATCTGCTCCTACTGCACGATGCTGCCTGCTAATGCAGACATAGCTGGAAGTATCTCTTGCAACTTTCATAGAGAAAAAGTTTCTTAACAGAAATTAAATTACTGACTGTTTAAAACTAAACATATATCCAATCTCAGAATTTGGATCCGGCTTCAGATGTTCCAAAGCTCAGAGGTGTTTGATCAAGAATTTTGGTTCAAATTTCTATAAACCATATAAAAGGAAACAACTGTGCCATTGGGTATAGATCTGACTTGCATGTAAAATGCATGCATTTGATTTAAACTCTATTTTATGAGAGGGGTTTCAAGGACAAGATTATTATTTACCTAGTGGGTTCAGATATTTATAAATAAAATGGTGGGAAATAAAACATGTTTGTTGGCATACATCCAGGAAATTTTATCTCCAAAGGCAACCATGCTCTGCAGATTTGTCCTTTTGTGTTTGTTTTTTTTTCTCCTCTCATCCAAGCAAGCTATTCAGATAGCTTCTTTTGAAATTGCTAACAAGAAACTTCCACAAGCAGATTATTCCTTTTTTCTTAATATATGAAGTTTTAAAATAAAACGCATACAAAAAGTCTTCAGCATATGCTCAGTACCACCAACTAAAATCTTTGCCTCCACAGCATATGCCTGATAAGTAATATTATCTACACAATATCCAAGTTCACAAAGGATTTGGCTTCTATATATGGTAAACCACGCATTTGTTTTAGCATACTGAGTGAGTGTTTTTAGCTACGCTCAGTGTACCTAATCCTGCCTCTCCCCACACCAGGACAGGATCCAAAGACCAGTAAAGCTTTTAGGAGAGTTTTGAAAGTTTGTATATTATATTACTCTGAAAAAAATGCTCTCTTTTGCACAGGCTAGGACAGTTGTCCAAAATAAAACTTTAGAGAAACACTGTTTCATACAGTTCATGTGCTGACAAAATTACAGCTGTGTTGGAGTGACAAACCCAGAAACCCAGAAACTGTAGAGTACTTAAATATTATTATTTATTACTCAGAAAACAAAATATTCAATAAATACCAAGAGGATTCTGAGCCAGAGGAAAAATCTCTTGCAAGCTTTTCAGTCTTTCTTTTCCAGACACTGTTCAAAACCAGATTTTTATAGATGTCTCATTCTCTGTATAATGATTTTGTTAAAAAAAAATCTTTTCAGTATATTCTTGATTTAAGAGGGTTTTAATTATTCTGCTAAACCAGCAGCCTATAAAAAGTTAAATATTAATTAGGCCAGATATATGAAAGAGATATGACTGGAACAATATGTTCAATGGGAAAAAAAAAGAACAACAACAAAAAAAGTAATATATGCAGCCAAATTGTCTCAACACATTCAGGCCAAAAACAAGTGTCCATATTACAACAAAGAGCAATGTTGTTTATGACTTTATGCAAAACCTGTAGGGTGTCAGTAACAACACCTTACATGCCTGCCACAAGGCACAGAAATATTCAGTCCATTTGCATATAGAAAAGAATCTAAGTTTCCCAGCACCAGCTTTGTAGCCAGTGTAGTTACAAGGTGCTTACAGGTCATACAGATACACAAAGCACAGGCATAGGTAGTTTTCTTTGACCAAGTGTAAATCCCAAAGAGAATCTATGATTGCACAAATTACAATAGGTCTTTCGGTCTACTTACAGGTAAAATGTCCTTTTCACATATTGACTATTCAATTTGTGTATAGAACTCATTCAACCTATTAATTATAAATTAATGCTATTTAGTAATCATATTTCTGACTGAAATTTCTCTAATTGGCAGTGTCATAAATAATGCTCCCCACTGCTATACTTTGCAGAGGCTGGACTTGTAATATTTTTACTTCTACAGCTTGCACATTTAAGAAAGTTGGAGCGGGTTTAGTTTCTCGTATTTGACAGTTTGAACTAAGACACTTTTATTTTGGCTTTCTAGTATTTTCCAAGAATTGCCTCCCTTTCTGCTGTTTTACTCTTGCAAATTTCCTCAATTTC